ATGAACGAGCGTCCGTGATATTCACTTTGTAGCTAGATTTACAAAGGATGTAGTCAATCTGCTTGTAGTATTTCACGGTTTTGTCAGGATCACCTCGGGCTGTAGTAGTACCGTGCCATGATGTAATGTGACGAGCTGAATGTTTGAAGCTTGTGTTACAGGCATAAAAATCCTTCTCAATCATAAAATCAAGCGAACGTTGGCCATTGCTGTTACGTTGACCGACTCCATACATACCCATATTGCGTGATAAACCAGAAAGGATGTCACCATCTGATTTACGACCCAGACGAGAATTAAAATCCCCGGCTATAAACACATCGTAATGAGCAGGAATATTGCCAAAAATTTTCATAAAATTACTTAACATGAATTTAATTCTTGGTTGTATTCAGTAATTTAGCTTCGATCATATTATTGTTCAATTATATTATTATTTGTAGTATTAAATATATTCATAAGCTAAAATATTTATAAACTATAAAAAACTACGAAAAAAAGTTTAAAGTACTTTGGTCCCACGAAAATCATGAATTCCATACTATACGGTGGGGTAACCCAACGTTTTAATACTTTCAATGAAATGAAATGAAATGAAATGAAATGAGGTATTTATATCCCGCTCATATGATTAACCAACAACACAAGGAAGAGATTAACCATGTCAGAGCGGCTGACTGTGAGTAATGTGAGCAAATGTGTAAAATGAACAAAAGTATAACTCAAAAAGGCTTAAGACAAAATTAAAACATCTTTTATTGTAAACACCACACTAAACTAAAAAGAAGCAGAAACCATACAATACGTGTAGGTATTATAAATGATAATACAGTGACTTGATCAACAAAAAAGAGAGACAGATCCTAGAAAGGTAGAGATCAAGACATAAAATGGAGTGCAGTAAAAAATAAAAGCCAATGTGTCTTGCAAAGTGAAGACAAATGGGAATAAAAAACATCAAAACTGATTATATAAATGGTTCTTTAACATTCGCTTGAAGCAGTTGGTATCAGTAATACATCTCAACATCATTGGAAGAGAGTTCCATGCAATCGGTGCATGGCTTGAGAAACGTCTGTCATCAACTTTGGACCTTTTATTCTTGGGTACCTTTAACATGAGATGGTCACCAGATCTTTTCGATCTATACTACTATATAACAAATTATTGAGAATATGAGTATGACGTAGAAATGTCGATACGTTATTCAGCCATTTATTTCCATTAGAATCTGTCTTCACTGAGTCTATTCAGAAACAATCAGAAATTTGAATGAAAGAACTATCAAATCATGAGACTCTATAACACTGCACGAATCCTCCAGGTTGGGGTGACCTTTAAATGGAATGATCTATAAAATATAAATAATCAATGTTATATTTAATATTTAGTTAATGTTATATTTAATATTTAATAAGTTATTATTTTGTAGCCGACTTTACACGATGCCAGATCTTCAATTGACTCAGTTTTTGCATCAATTCTCCATCATCCCTACTAAACAAAAGCTCTCCTATCAGCTCTCCTACTAACTAATACTACTAGAGCATGATTACCTGGGGACCCCAGGCTATAAGTATAATGTTCATATTCATAAACATAGAGATTCGGCGGAATGACAGGCTGAGCACCGCCCAGTAAGAGCATGACTTCAGACTTGACGCAACAGACCATACGGCTAGCAAAAAAACAAAGGTACTTAAGACAGTGAAAATATAATACAATTTTCTTTGACTAACTCAGAAAACCTGTGATTTGCTGCATGGCCGCCGACAATTGATAAAATTATCAAAGTTGCTGCCGCAATATGACCGGATAAGCGCCATGCAGCCACTTCATATTGAGTTTCACATTATAGTAATCAAAACATCAAAAAGCCGGAACCGTGGCACCCTATTTACGGGTTTTTGAACACGTACATAAGAGACAATCGATAATATGGATAAATGCTTTATCTGTAAAAACTTGACATCGAACTCTAAAAGGCGTGGTCACAGTGAAATAATATAAGACAATTCTGTCGTATGCGCATTATGTTGATATGATAAACCCATTGCATAGATCATGGGGCCTTTAAGTTTAACTCTCCCAAAGGTTTTAACTAAACAACTAGCGATTAAATCAGGAATTTTGTATATGTATCTGATCACGCTTTGTTTTTCCTGTCTGTATGAATTACAGATAAGATTATATTCAGAATCAGTTTAACATTGTGTTTAACTTGTTTATCGCGTCAATGTGCCGTACAACCCCGAATAGGGGTCAAGAGCAGCAAGCAAAACTTAATCCTTTGGGAAACATTTTTATGGGCGGGGTGTCATCACGAACTATGGATTGTGCAACTGCAACTGACTTGTAACTTCTTGGAGTTTGATCAATGACGAAATATATTATAGAGAATTCTTTACCTGTATTTTCACCACTTTCAACATTTTTACTTGGATAAGTGGCACCGTATATGGATTATGGAGCCCGACATTGTCTTGAGCTCGTATCACTTATATGTTTTGAACAACCCCTCCAGGCTTGAGCTTAAAGAACATACAAAAAACTAAATTTAACTTTCAGAGTCAAACCATACTATTTTATATCTTAACTCGTAAGTTCTATAGTTCTTTAAGATTCTGAGATCTGAATAGGCCAGCTAATTAATGATCACTGATAAGTACTGCCAACTGCCGCCCGGCCATATATTCCAATACTGTGCTGTGAAAGTGAAGCTGCCAAGCGTGCTTAATACATGTATTTACCCTCCACCCTCGTCTCGAATGTCGATATTGTTTCTAAAAGATCCCCGGCCGGCAGTTGAAACCAGCTTCATGATAATAGTAATACATATATTGTATGTAATATGTAATATGTAATATGTAATATGTAATATGTAATATGTAATATGTAATATGTAATATGTAATATGTAATATGTAATATGTAATATGTAATATGTAATATGTAATATGTAATATGTAATATGTAATATGTAATATGTAATATGTAATATGTAATATGTAATATGTAATATGTAATATGTAATATGTAATATGTAATATGTAATATGTAATATGTAATATGTAATATGTAATATGTAATATTTTTATCTCAATTCTTATTTTACTTCGGACATTCCAACAGCCACATTGTTACACAAGTGTGTAACCAGCCAATTACAGGAAGCCGAAGGATTCAATTATACATTAGGCCAGTGACGGTTAAGGTAGTGTGTACCATACTTTCTTCGCCCGAGACTTTGCTGCAATGGGCAGCTCCTCATTTAACCCTCACACCCGATTTCTCGAGTATTTGGCTGAGTGGACCGGGGGGCTGCATAGACCACTCAGGATCCTTAGCTGAGCGTCGACGACGCTCACCCCACGGCTAGTGGCAGAGTCGGGAATCGAACCTGGTACCTCAAGCAATACCAGGCCTGGATTAACCAACTGAGCCACTAAGCCGTTGAATATGTAATATGTAATATGTAATATGTAATATGTAATATGTAATATGTAATATGTAATATGTAATATGTAATATGTAATATGTAATATGTAATATGTAATATGTAATATGTAATATGTAATATGTAATATGTAATATGTAATATGTAATATGTAATATGTAATATGTAATATGTGTAATAATAATAAGTAGTATAATACGTATTTTATATCAACCGCATAACTTGCAGAGATAAGGACATAGTCATAGGATTACAATGATTCATCTTCCCTAATCACAAGTTATCGACTAAAAACTGTTTTGATCACTTGACATTACTGTATAAAAAAGTTTCTCAGATTTGTTGCGGTTATATAGATTGCTGGTTTAGGGATAGGGTTGAGGTACCGGTTAGAGTTAGAGGGTTATAGGGTAATTAATGTTCAACAAAGCTCCATATAAACATAATATTATAAAAAACGTTTTAAAGTTAGCCCGTGATAATGATCAGCGTAGAATGATTAATCATCATCTGCAGTTACTGCACTACAAAATTAGTTTGTGATCTAACTTTAACAAAATGTAATGAATAATTATATGATCTAACTTATGACTTGTAAGCTTATACAACGATTGACATTAAAAAACATATGTTGGATGGAGGAGGTTAGGCTATAAGTATTCAATCTTCGGACATGTTCGATTTGTGATACCGAAGTCATCATTTAAAACTTGCTCGGCCCCTAAAAATATTACGTCAGCGGAATTTTCGCCATTTAAGACATCTCTGTCAGTCTGTCCTTGTAGGTTTATAACCTACCAAGACGCGTGCCGAGTTGGACTCGTCTACAGTCTTGAAATATTTTACGAGTATCACCCGTTAACTTTAAGTCTGTCCATGTCCCAACATTGCCAGAAACCCCCATACAACGTTAACAAACTGCATGTACGTAACTTGTAACGCGATGCACTACTGGGTCGCGCGCGCATCAAATATGCTTCTCGCAATCACAGATCGGCGAGATGCGAAGGATTGACATCGTGAATCAAGTACGTAACAACCCCTCTCCTTCTAGTTCTCAACCATTCAAATCTTCAAAGTTTAATGTTTTCGATGATGATAGTGCGATTAATATTATAGAGTTCAAAAACAGGAGAATAGAGTTTTCAAATACAATTTGCTTGAGACCGCTAGAAGAGGATAAATTATGAAATTTATAAAAGTAATTTAAACTGCATGTTTTTGTTATTTAAATTTGATCAAAGTCCAACTTTGAATCATGAGACAAAACAATGATTTCTGCTGAATTCAGTATGGCCTAGTGCCCGCCTAGATCACCTTAGTTGAATTAAAAGCGAACATGCATCAGTAACTTTTATCTCTGATATCAAGCTGAAAGTGTTAAGTCATCGATGGAAAAAACTCAAATCTAGCGCACCTCGTTATTTGCCCCGGCGAAATTGAATTGTACACAAATTATCAAATTGTGAACTGTTTTATCAAATGAAAAGCGCGGTACTTAAGAAAGGAGTTTCGGGTGTATTTTTAGAAAATAAACAACTGTGTAATGAAAGTCAATAACAAAAAACTTGGAAATAATCAAGCCTACTATACAAACATTTTACTTATACTTTACAAGGTCAAATAAAGTTAAATAGTAAGGTTAAATAGTTCATAATAATATTGTTATTACGTAACGATGATTTGGTCAAAAATTCGCACAGTTTCAATTCATCCCAACGACTCAACCAGTCGTTATCCAATGTACTTTAATCCAATAATATGTAACTAAAATAATATCAAGATGAAATAAAGAATATGATCGTACAGTATGCAGTTAATTTAAGTGGGATCCTACAATAATTTACCTGTTACCGGGATGAATCGGTGCAATTTGGTCAATTTAAATATCTTGTCAATCTATCTACCTACACGTCTACTAAACAATATAAATATGTTTCCTGTCAAAAATTCAATCAAACACCATATCAATATTTCGTTATCGTCAAAAATTGTTCCGTCAAATATTCAAATACTTTGTCATTAAAGTCAGAAACTTTAATAAAAGGGTATTTTTACGTTACATATTGCATGTAACTAAAAAAATCTGTCAGCACAGCATTCTTGGTCGTAAAAATCATTAAGTTTAACTTCGTAAATCCTGTTTGGGCCACATCAAGTCATTCCAACTCGATCAGTTCTATCATTTGATGAAGTGCAGTCATTTAATGTCATCAATAATCGGTGATCTGATCCTTCAGATTATACTAGCTCAACTTCGTGGTTACTTAATTAACGTCTGTTAATTTATCAGTCTCTCTCACCCAATATTTCATTCACTTCCAGTCTCCAGATCGTGTCTCAAGCGAAACTAATCATTCTCCTTCACGAACAATAAAAATGTTTATTTCGCGGACAATCTCCCTCTAATTAACTGCAATCTACAGATCAGTAGAGATAACGACCCCCTACAAGTACCAGCTAAAAGCTGAGTGCTGACTAACGCTAGGTTTAATGGCTGGCAGTTTGGTGGGGATGGGAGTGATGAGGTTGTTGGGTCGAGGGGGAAGGAAGGAGTCTGGGCCGAGGGGTGGGAGAAGGGATACTGGAGGGAGGTGTGAGTAGAGTTGCAATCTTTGGGATGTTATCGCGCTCTGCATCAGTGCTATCGCTCTACGGTCCTGAATAAGGGGTATTGATCAAATTTTGGAAAGAGATGTAATATTTTCAATGATTTTCGTGTCAAGATAGTGTTAGTGTTACTGTTGCACTTGATAAATCGTATAATCATATTGGGCCAGTCAGTGCTGAATACTTGAATACGTAAAAGGCTTCACTAGAGATATAGAACTTTCTAATTTTAAACATTCAGTTTAAAAACCACACTTTAGATTTTGGGCGGGAAAATTTGCCAATCGAAACATAGATTGAGATAAATTTCCTTAAATAAAATCTGCTCGGGTGCAAACTGTACCTTGAGCTTAGCTTTAGCTCGCCTGTTCTGAAACCATATCTTGACTTGCGTATGTGAGATATCTGCACTTGCTGCCAACTCTTTCCTTTCCCGTCTCGTCAGATAACGTTTTGTCAAGTAGGCTTCCTCCAATTTTTGAACCTGAAATTTGTTTCTGGTCACAAAACATAATTAAGGAAGCTTTAAATCGTTCGATGTCTTTGCCCGCCACCTGGGCATGCAGTGTGCTGTTTTAACAACTTCTAAAATACTAAGGTTGTAGGCCTCGACCACGTCAGTGAACTTGAAAACAAACTTTGAAATGACGTCTACAAATATGGTAGGATAATCAAATAAACTGATACAAGCCATGGTGACCTAACGAGATAAATTCATTTAGGAGTTGTGCACGTACTCGTCATTTCTTTGGTTAAAAGAGAGATTTAGCCTGGCCATTATCATGTGAGGTGAATTTGGAAAGCGAATTAAATAGGATATCACCCGATATGAACAATGTTAGGTCACAAGCATCGGAATGTAGAAAATCTATTTCGACATACACTCCTATCAATTAGCTGAATATTTGATAAGCCTCGTAAAAATGGAGAGATATTTATCATGACTTTTGTGAGAACCAAAAATTAGTTTATTTTCGTACCAGTGACAGTGAATTGAATTAGATATTTTGGCCGTACAACGAGGATTTGATAAAAGAAACAAACACGTTGAAAGCATTTCTCTTGTGAACCTTTATGGTAAATTCAGGTTGAACCTGATAAAGATAAATTAAATCAAATGGTGACTTATATAAAAGTAATAAGCATGGGAAAAGTCTAAGGATGCAGTAAAAAAGCTAGAAGTACCTGCTCTCTTGAGAAGATAGTTCTTGGTTTCTTGCTATTCAGGTCCTGTTCCTCAGGGGACGACTCACATGTTTCCATCGAACTACCATCTGACTTCGGGGTCTTTGGATCTGAAATGAGGAACTTGGTCAGCGACGAAACAGTGTCGATAAATCTGGCTTCCCGACTAAAATAAAGAACCGCTAATAATGTATTATATTCGATTTCAAGTCTTCTAAATACTATTTCAGGCAAAGTGTTTATTTTTAGCTTCACTCTCGTGATGATTTCATTTTCGATCACCCCTGAAAGTCTCTCGGCCACCAAACCACAGCTGGACTATCTAATTGATATTAAAACTGTAAATGCCCCGTTTATACAATATGTCAAACAAGCCCCTATAAACTGACAGGACCCCCGGTGAAGCTGCCCCTAAAACTACAAACCTCGTTATTACCATTTACCAACAACTTATTAATTAAGAAACTCTTAGCAAGGAGTATACCCCACTCATAGCAAGCATTAAACCCCTCTTTACAGCACTCCAATCAATAACCCTGGCCTACTTTCCATCCGCGTCAACAGAAATGTGACATATACTTCAGTGGCTTGATGATGACCAGAAAACAGCCAGCTCGTACACAACTATTAATGCTATACACTGAGTCATCAGGATTGTGGCTCTTAAAGTTTGATGGTGATATGATAATTAGTTATGAAGATGGAGTGTCACAGTGTCACTTGTTAGGATATTTGCTTGCTTGACAGGGTCATGTTCCCAGCTTGTGGGCCAGTTTCAAGCAGGTTTTCTGTTCATGACATGAGCGGGTATTATGAGTAACAGCTGGTGTTATGAAAAGAAGGGACTATTTATAAAATACTTGAGAATAAATACTTCAGGGCCAGGGGTATATTCTGATTAAGTCAACACTCATTAAGTGCACAGTGCACAGTGCACAGTGCACAGTGCACAGTGCACAGTGCACACTGCACACTGCACAGTGCACACTGCACACTGCACACTGCACACTGCACACTGCACACTGCACAGGTTACACCTCTAAGTACTGCCTTCAAAGAAACTATTACCACTTCCATTTCAATCCTTGCTGGAAGCTAATTGCTAATTAGAACATTGACTGACCTATTGGAGTTTTGTTTACTTTCTTCATAGGTTTCTAAATGTATCCCAATCGTGAAACGAACAATTTAGTGAATCATCAGAGAACGATTGAGATAATTTCCCTTCAATTGCCGTCCATTAAGGCGTGGCAAAAAGCGACCAAAATAACCTGTGCACATTGCACGACACCAAAGCTGCTTTGTCAAGCAACCAAATCACACATCATTGAACTTGAACAACGTCCCGCTGCAGCAAAAGGTGCCCAGACGATATTTTAAGAACCACTCCAACGAATGGCTAAGACCAGAGTCTGCCGCGCTTGTCGTGTACAAACGGTTTTTCTTGTCAAGAATACTGTCTGCTTTAAAAGAAGCACACGTGATTTGGAGTCGTGTCACGTGTTGGGGCCTGAATAATGGTGATGGTACTTTGATGGCTCAATCTTGGATACTCCCTGTGAATGAAAGAAAAGTATGGAAATAGTACGTCCAAACTGAAGCGGATTTGAGGAATAGGGTCGCACAGCTTAATTAAGTTTTATGTCAAACAGGGAGTGAATATATTTGTACAGTTTATTCGCTGAGTTGATAACGATATACACATGTATTATGAAAGATCCTGTTAATAAAACCTTATCATTTATATGCTTCAAGAACCCCCTCCAGGCTGATTATTCGATTATTCGAGACCTACATTTTAATCAAATTCGTCAGGTAATTAATTACTAGCAGTGTGTCTAATGATATTTCCATATTTCAAAATTGATTTGCTATCAAATTTTACGAATACTGCACTGTTGCCGACGTTTTTATGATCCAAAATGGTTTTGGTTGCCCTGTTTTTGCTTACTACTTATAGCGAAGTGGTTTCTGGAAACCAAGGGCTCCCGAAATTGGTAGAAGCTAACCGTCCTAATTCGAAAGATAGCATACTTGACACTTGCCAAGCTCTCAAAGAGGATGCCCAGGAGATAAGGGAGGAAGGATACTCGGCTATCAACAAAGCTGATATGATCCGGGACCAGGCTTATCGGGTAAAGGATATGAAGCGTACGAAATCAAAGAGAGTGCTTTGTTGGCAAAATCTGGCTTGGAGATCTTTATTGTTGAAACTCTTGCTCTGATGAAGAATCAAGCTACTGCTAACAATTTGTACATCCAAGAGATAAGGGCTTCTTTGAGTTCTGTTTTGACTAGGATGGAAAGGGGGGGGGGGAGCCAAGTGGATATTTGTAGATATTTGTAGATTAATGTAGAATGGATAATCCACGAAAAAAGTGGATGACATTCTACAAATTTATACATTTATCTCCAAAAATTCAGTAGAATTTCTGGGCACATATTTGAGATTACATTTTTTGTAGATAAATGTAGATTATTGTCAATGGATAATTCACGAAAATTCTACAAATTCTACAAATTTATACATTTATCTCCAAAAATTCAGTAGAATTTCTGGGCACATATTTGAGATATACATTTTTTGTAGATAAATGTAGATATTTGTAGATTATTGTAATGGATAATTCACGAAAAAAGTGGATGACATTATCCAAATATCTACAAATATCCACTTGGCCCCCCCCCCCCCCCCCCCCCCCCCCCCCCCCCCGGAAAGTTTGGAGTAAGGACTGGACGATGTTGAACAAGGTCAGGAACAGCTAGAGGAGATGATTGAAGGCAAGATTTCAGAGCTGACAGAACTCGTTTCACAAAACTTAGCAACAAGTGGAGAACACATTCCAGCAGTTCGAGTAGCTCAAAGCACAACTTACAATAATTATCATAACCCCGAAAACGCAGTTGATGGAAACGTTGGAACCGCTTCCCATACAGAGTGTGTATATCCTCGACCGTGGTTCAGGTACTATTTCTCGGGCCAGAGAGCTATAGGGCAGATAAAAGTGATAAATGGAAAGTTGAACGAAAACCGGATGAGACTTAATGGAGCGAAGGTGGTTGTTATGGCGGGTGATGGATCCAAGAGACCTTGTGCTGTCGACACTATAACAGTACGGGAGGGAGACTTTGTGGAAGATCAGACGTACTACCTTGACTGTACGGGAAACACTGGTGTTGGAGTTGAGTTTGTGTTGGAGACCACAACTTGTTTGGAATTTAGAGAGATTGAAGTTTATGCTCCGTGAAATGCATTGATTTAAAATCTTATTCACTAATACGGAATTTTACTGTACAAAATGTATAACCAACAAAAATAAGTAACAATCTTTGATTTAGTCGTTGTAGTTGTATCTAACTAGATAATTATACCAGCAAACTAGGATGGAATTTTTATCACGACTAACTGCATCAGTTTCACCACTGAAATCCAATCAGAACAATTGATATGTATCCTTAAAAAGCAGCGGAAATGTATTATTGTTTTCTCGGGATATTAAAGGGTAAGGGAGACAACTACAGGTAACAATTTGCGATTCCCAAACTCCCTACATCCTATCTATAATGTAGTAATAAAACAGGAAGTACTAAACCCAAAAACACGACACTCACCTCTGCTGGTTACTCCGGTACAACTGCCATCACTGCAGGTGGGACTCAGTGATCCAGCTGACTCGGTGGAACACGACAGGTGCCTGGCCTCCCTCCTGGGGGTGGACGGAACTCCGTTGTAGTTGTTGCTCAATAAGGACTGGATGCTGAACGCTATTGCTTTACTGCTCAGCGTACTCATGGAGGGGAGACGATGATATTTTAACTTAAAACTAGGGTCAGATTCTGTAGACAAGTATCAGAACTCAGAAGGCGAGTAATATAGGAACCCAGGTAGGTTTTGAAGAGGGGGCAGTTGTTAAAAAGCACGGCAAACAAGAGCAAGTTGAAGTCTAACTGATGAGGGAGGACTGATGGCGCGTGTTTAACGAACTGACCTCACGTGAGCACCACGTGACATGACGCGTCATTGCTTGCTTGATAGGAGCGCTCTGACATAATCCCCCTCCGTGTACACAGTGTATTGTACTCTCGCATCCCCCGGTCATGTGACTGTGATGACTCGTTCCGTTGGACCGCAGTCTGGCAGTCCTTCTTCTAATCGTGACTAGCGGTTCAGGGCTTTCCACAGATCGTCAACTGATTGAGGAGATGTCACATGACTTCAGCGATATAATAACGGTTGCTGAGTATCCCCTAAAATATAATGATCAGTATTATTGTTGACGGCGCAATGAAATGGCAATTACCAAAATAAGGGCCTGCTTGTGACCTAAATTAACACTCTTACCCGGAGCCTCGCAGAATGCTTGTCAGAATCTCAACGACTTTTTAATTTGGTGACTGAAGGGCAATAAACTTCCAGGGAGCGCTTGGTGACTTGGTGGTCCAATCATGGGCAACTTAACCATAATAATATGATCATGGCAATAGTATTTTCAAATAGATAACAGTGCAAAGAAAAGGTCGGGAATGGTGGGGGTGGGCGTTATTTTGGTTTTTGGGATTCAGAATACACAGTAGTAACTATACTTAATTAACGGCATGTTATTTTACAGGTGGACCAAACCGGTCATCGCGAGGATTAGCAGGATTAAACGGCGTGGTGTTGATTAAAACTCGATCAAGCATCGACAAATTGTCGCCACGACTCCAACTGTCACATACTATAATCACACTCGATATATTAATTTGATTTTTGGCTCTTTCTCTATGACTTAATTTAGCAACCTATATGGTAGGTTTGCGGATGACGCCATGTTCCTCTTAGTGGTCAGCTTGTACCTATTTTCCTTCACTGATATAATGTGGCTATCAAGAACAATCATAGTTGGCTTATCAACCTTCTCATAGTACATTATTGCCATCACGGTGACCAATACCGCATGCATGCATCCAACTTACCAGTTCTGGGTTATAACGACGGTTTTCCAATTTGGTTCTTTCAGTTGGGCTCGATCATCAGTCCTTCCGTCTCGATTTATTGCAGGTCTGTCGAACTTCTATATGTCAATAGCTAAAAGTTAATGTCATTAATTGCACCTAGTATCACACCTGAAGTAGTACATACAAATTTAGCCATATACAAACTCATAATTAAGGTACGTATAGTGTCACCGGAGCAACATGAAATATAACAAAACAAGATGAGCTAATTAAGTTGTTTTTACACACCCAGTGCCACGTCATGAAAAAGAGTGACACAAAATGTCTCTCATAACTTTTAAACATCGCGATGGTAAGCAGCAATTCTTGTTTAAAACCTGCAGCCCAACCAGCTTTTGATATGATGCAAACAATTACGGTCCACCATGGTCATTAAACAGAGAATTAACATTATCTAATTAGCCTCATCACCATCATTTTCATTAGTAATTGTTAGCCGTAAAGGGGGCCCTTTAAAATGTGTGATGACCGTTCGATTTGTCACAAGCAAAATTCAAATTCGCCAATCAGAAAACTGCATCTTTGAGGAGAGAAGTGCACGTGTGAGATGATAGTGCACGTGTGAGATGATATGTCTACATGCTAAGATGCTGACGAGTTAAGTGTTGGGACCGGACAGCTGATTTCCCAGACGGGAACTATTTGGGAAATACTTTCATGGAACGGGAACACCAAAAACGTAAGTTCTTTGGGAAATTTATATTCCGCATGGTTTTTTTAACGGACTGAGCTTAAGCCAAGTTTTACCAAGTATCCTTGGCCGTGTAAAAAGTTAAGGAAATTATTGGCGGCCACAAACGCGACAATTAGACGACAACGAGGAATAATCTGAATATTTTCAGCATGACAATCCACACAAAAAACAAGGGAGACCGGATTATATAATGTGCTTGTTTCTCCTAAAGGAGTCTGCATTCAAAAACTCTGCGAACAACTCGTGATAACCGGACTTTTATTGTGTATAAATAACCATTATCTACTTGAGAAACGATCGTTATATTAGTGAATAACGAATAAAGCCCTGCAAGATGGACACTTTCATTGTTGTTATCACAATGGTGGTCTAAAGTGATTTATTGTGCGGATGATTATTTGACATGTTCAGTGCACTTAAACCGAGTTAATATGATTAAAGTGAGAGATAAAGTATCAAAATGTCTGTTAAGCATGGCAAATCGTAACTGAAGTTTATGTTTAATTACTTGCAGTAGCAGGTAAAGTTAACCGTGTGGTTTATTGTAAATACTATTATGGAAACTATAGAGAAAAAATAATTCTTGGAACTTTTATAAGTATAACCGAGAAATATTTGGCGAATAAAAGTATAATATCTGCTATTAAGGAATAAACTGAATTATAATTTTAAACAGCTATTGGGTGACAAATATAGGAGAAACAACGACACTCGACAATAATCATCACAGTTAAGTAAAAATAAAAGAAGGACCAACATCAAGGAAATTTAACGTTCATTTTTGTTAAGTGAAAAGCAAGCTAAAAGTCGCACAGTTCGTGGAAATAAATACATATGTTTTGCAATACTAATAGGCGATATTAATGACTAAAAATAAATGATATGCCTAAGAATATCAGACATCATATTTTAGTTCAATTAATTAACTCAGCTGCCTTGTATACCTGGGTCAACACACTTAGGTCGTGGGAGGAGGTGAGAATAAAGGATCTCATTCTGACAAGTAACCACTCTGCTGCCCTGCAGAGTGTACCCAGCAGCACACTCTACTGGTATCACAGTTCCGTAGGTGGTAGGAAATGTTGCGTTAGTTGAAAGGTAGTTCTCTGTCATCAGCCCCCTGCAGTGATCTAGGGTATCACGATTTAGCGTTTATTGATGTTTTTGTATTTTTGACATTGATTGCCATAAAAAAGAATTTAACAAAAAATGGCTATCAAACTCTTAATTAAATGAATAATCAATAAACCTATAGTGCATGTTGGACGTGTTCCGATAGTGAAGGAAATGTCTCTGATGCAAGTTATTTTATTGTCCCCAGTGAGAGTGTGGCCAGGCTTGCAGTTTACTTCCACCATTCCATGATCTGGAATAACAGCCAAATGCTCGGACGTGGTCCACAAACGGAAAGAAAAAGGACAAGGATATTGCAGTAACGGTACAATCCATTTCAGCACCAAGACACAGTCATTGGTCAAGCTATTGTATACCACGGTCGGACGTCTGCGAAAAGCGGTCTACATATTGTGAGATTTTAGTGTAATTCTATGGTTATTTTGAGCAATTAGCCGCCAGTCTTATACCTCTGGGGCATAATGTAGTGGTTCACGCTGTCATTATAACTGTAATATTCCACGATCAGTGAAAATACGAAATAAATGAAGGATCGGATATCTGTGTTAAAGATGCGTCTTTCAAGTTTTCACTATATTTGATATATGTATTATATAATATATATATATTATACATTATCCTTTATGATCATCATAGACACCCAATAATTCCCTATTTGCTATTTCATAAAAATGATAAAGTAAAATTTGACGATGCGATTAAGTCTGATGCGTCTAAATTTAAATCAGTTTAAGCGTGAGCCAGGTTCTAAAATTTATCATTGTAATCATTGTAATCATTGTAATCATTGTAATCTTTTTTGTATAACTAATAATAATATATAAATTATAAGACAAATTTTGAATAATGATTCTAGGAACCTGTTGGTTTTTCAAATGGTACCTTTTTATTGATATTTTCTGTTTGTGATTATAACTGATTTTTATAACTCTATCATTTTCATATACTCATATAAATGAAATTGGATAACTTGGAAACTGTAAAGGTTGAAAAAGTGGTAAAGATGGACACATCCACGGACAACGATGGGTAATGAGTATGAATGAAACGATAAATTTGAAGTATTTAATTATTTGATGTTTCAAATTAGTGGACACAGTTCAAAGACTCGCCTGGTTCAAACTTCTCCAAGTACTTGTACATTGGCTCGTAAAATAAGTCTATGATCTTTATTTTAAGCTCTGATGCTTCCTCACTCAGCTCATATGGATCGATCATAATCTGTTCGCTGTATGAATATAAGAAAAAATAAAACTTAAGAATTGAGCTCAGGATTTGACTTAAATTGTTCACTCTTTTTGTAAATTCAACGAGCAATCACGGGACTCTACTTTAAATACTGCCATGAACTGAGCACGTACCTTTGTCCTCCGATTGTTATCTTTAGGTAATCGGTACTGAAGTCGATCACCCAAAGTAATCTGTTGTATTCATCTATTTCTTCTTCAGTAAAGTTCCAGGTTTTATAAAACTTCTCATCTTCGCTTGCACTTCCTGATGATAGTAGGGCAGATTGTAAAATATTAATGTGTTCGATGGCTGAAAAATTCGATCAATAAGCTCAATACTGCTAGCAATAGTATACTTATAGTCTGATGGAATTGCATCGGAACTTTATTTCATCAGTAGATCTAGTAACTTTGAGAACTATAGTTTTTTACTAACCTTCCATTACACTGACCATGACATCAACTTCTGTCGGAACTCCCTCGCTATATTTCCAATAGATTATCACCACAGGGTCATCTCCTACCTGCATTCTGTTCCATGCCCCAGACTGTCTAGGAACTAATCTTTGTAGTAGAAGGAAGAGCTGGGAGGCGGGAGAGAATGGGATGGTGTAGTACTCGTGGTCTTGGGCATTGGGCTCGATTCTTGTGTATCCATCTGAGTGTGTATCCCGAAATGAATAAATCCGGAGGAGTCGAGGACATATATATGTAACATGATATTGATAATAACATGGTCTGATTTTGCCTAAAACTCTTAAAAAGCCACTAACAATTAAACACACAATTACAACCAACAATCAAATTCAAACAGCAAAGCACGAAAGACGCTGACTGAAACTTTTCAATTTACCTGGAAGATTAATAGGATCCAGCTTATATTCGATCCTTAAATC